GCCTTACTTGAAGAAAATGTGAAAAGAATTTATACATACCAGCTAAATTTTTGCCTCTACCTTGGGCTTCACAATCTTCTGATTATAGAATACCTTTTGTCCCATGAAATATTTGTGCATAGAACTCCAAATTAAGTCTTTTTCCATATCATTTTGGCGAATGGTGACCTTCTAGATATATTTGCTCTAGAACTATGTCTATGTCTCTCAATTTCAGATGGATTCTACTGTGGATTCAGTAATCTCCTTTCTGATCCTTTCAATTGATGCCTTTTTTTGCCTAGACAAAAAGAGAGGAGATACCAAATGTATTTCTTACTATCAACCAAGAAGTGTAACCTGATTTACTCTCCTTATTACTCAAGAATGGATATCTCAAGTCATCACTTACCTGTTTTAAAGTAACAGAGAGAGGAAAATTTTAACATGTACTGTATAAGTGAAAGAAATGAACAGTCAGTTGAATGCCACATTATTGATTCTAATTAGTTTTGCTTCTCAAAGAGAAGATAAATTGTGTCATTTTATTTATTTTATTTTCAGGAGGTCTTACAATTAAAAAAAAAGAAATAGAATATTGAATCTTATGTTGTGTTACTCCACTAGAGTATACATGCTTCCACGAGTGGAGGCCATGTCATTACCTCTCAGTATGCTCACTGATGCTATGAACATATTGAACTGTTTATAAATTAATGAAGCAACATATGAAAAGAGCAGGTTTGAATAAGGTAGTAAAAAAACACACCTGGATACAAGGCTTATTCATGTGTGTAAATAAATGGTGAATGGAATAATTGAATAAACACTTCCATTTACATTAAAATATTGAATTTTTCATATTTAATAAGGTAACATATGATTTGACTCTAAAAAAATCAATAATAATTATATTTCTCTAAATATTTTTGTTTTCCTTCCTTTCTATATTTATTTACACACCCTGTATTATTTCACAGTGAAGTTTTTGTTTTTTGGTTTTACTTTGGATTTTTTTTTTTATTGTACTGGGGATCAAACTCTAGACCTTGTGCTTGCGAGGGCAGGTATGGTGCCACTAATCTAAATCCTAGGTCTTACAGTGAGTTTTAATATGAGAAACTGTAAGTAAAGGGATAAGGCGTATGCACAGAAATACATGCCTTAGGTGGTACATGATTGGATTCTTAGGTGGATTCATATTTTAAAAGATCAAGGCATGAGTGAGAGGTGCTATTTTATCACTGAAAGATAGTCCATTTACTTTGAGTTTTCGATCTCTAGTAGTCACTTTTATAGTTGGCTATTCATAAAATTTGTTGTAATTATTATTGCATGAAACAGTGTAATAAGAATAGTTTAAAAGATAAATGTACAACAAGGTGTATACAGCACTCAAATTATTATGTAATTAAGATCTCTGAATGCTGCCTCCTCATTAATTTATGTTTAAGAGCCCCTTAGTTAATTCCCTAATACACTGACCAAATGTAGTGGAAATGAGAAATTTCATACACTATTATGGAGAATGTAAATTGGTACAATTGTATTGGAAATCAACTTAGTGATAGCTAGTAAGGAGGAAGATCTTCATACTCCATAAACCAGGAATTTCATGTCTGGATATGCAGCTTCAAAGGGCATCTCCACATGTGCATAAGAAACATTACCTTACATAAAATGGTATAACTGCCCATTAAAATGGCCAATGCTTGTGTTTATTATTTTTATAAAATGGAACAACATGCAATGTTTGAAAATAAATGTGATTTTATGAATTATTATGAATTTTTAAGAAATATAATTTAAGTGAATAAGATGTGTTTTAGAATTTCATCCAAAATACTATTATATAAAGAAAAATAATTCTCTTTCACTTCATATATATTTGCAAATATATATATATATATGAATGTTCATAAATGTATCTGTATATATGTATATAATTTTATGGTCACATAATTTGTATAGTAGAACCAGAGGTACAAAACCCATAAACCTTGTGAAGTGTTCCTAAATCCAGCTATTCCAGTCCTTCTTCTGCTTCAGGCCTATAGGCTTATATCTTACTCCACCCCATCTATTTCCCAGGATGTTATCTGGAGCATGCTGCTGTTTTTTGTTTTGGGTTGGTTTCATTTTGTTTTGAAAAAGGCACCATCTCTTTTCTATTACTATGTAGATTTAAATAAATTGACAGTCTCTCCCCTACTACTGAAAGAATCTATTTTGATGAGCATCTGTGCCATGAAAATGTAACTCAAATACTTAAATATAAAGTAATGGGTAAAATTTGGCACAATGGTAAAATAATGAATGGACAGCTGAGAAAACTGATCTTCAGAAACAGCTAAGTTATGCTCTGTAAAAATGCCATCAGTAGAGAATAATTGTTCAGGGAATTGTATTGCAATTTATTTCCATTTCTTTTGGCTAGTGCTGAGGACAAGGGTGTCCAAGAAGCTCTTTTTTTTTTTTTTTTTTTTTTGAGACAGTGTCTCCCTATGTAGTTCAGGCTGGCCTTGAACTCTCTGTGATCCTCCTGTCAGTGCTGTGATTACAGGCTTGTGTCACTGGCCAAGGACAAGAGAGAACATCCTGCGGCCATGCTCAGCAAAGCAGCAGATCAGAGGCTAGGGAGAGAAAAGTGGCCAATGAGGAGTTTCCTGGAAATAGACAAGATCATTGACCCTCAGTTTTCTAACATTCAAGTTTCTTGTCTTTGTACTGCAATCCCATTGTGAGATTTTAAAGTTTTGAATTATGCCAACTATATCATTCCTACCTTATATTGACTTGATTTCATGGAATGGAAGAAGGATACTAGGAAAACCTGTGTACTTCCTCAAAGGACAAACACTGGCCCTAATAAAGACTAGATAGACATCAGTCACCTCAGTGGGTGACCAAGACCTCAGGACCCACTATTTCCTAGAAGAAGCCTTTGTTCTTTCCATTCACACTGGTTACATGACTTGTTTCCCAATTGGATCACTATTACCTAAATGACTATACTCATAACCTTATTGGTTGATCATGGTTGTGGCCCAAGTTGTACCACATGGGTTTAGCTCTACAAAACTCCCCTGTAAAGTGTGGTCCTTAGCTACCCATTTGAGTCCCCTCTTGCCTCTCAGAAGTATCCTATCAATAAATATCTTCCTACTCTTAATCTCAGTTGTTCCTAGAATTCATTCTTTGATTTTTAGAGAACATGAGCTCAGAGTACCCAACAGCTAACAGGTTGGAAGACATAATATTTCATATTTTATCTCCAGTATCATTTCCTGTTATCAATGGTTCTGTGGAGGCAGCTGGTAGTACTCTGTGAGTGCCGAGTATTGTGAAGGTGAAGTGAGATGGCAGTGGCGACAGCAGCAGGACAGAAGGTGTGGCAGGCTTGTGCAGTACGGAGCAGCATCACCTGTCTGTGTGGGCGTGCAGGGTTAGGAGCCCTGAAACATTTTTGAGCTTCATTAAGAAGTGTCTCTGAATCTCTTTTTGAGAAAGCCTAAAAATGGAAAGGAATAGAGAGAAGGGAGACCTCAAGTAAGCAAATGCTAAGCCTTTAAAAAGACAAAATTAAGAAAGCAATGTTGGGGCTGTCTGTAGCAGGGAAGAAAGGAAGAATGCACAAGAGTAGAAATTTGCAATAACTACATCTGATCAATGTCATTACAGAGTGGCCTGGAAAGTCTCCACCGCAAATAAAATAGTTGAAGATCCCACGTGTCAGTCACATAGCCATGTCTAGAGATATAGTTGTCTACCTTATATAGGTCAAATGCTTAATTTACTTAGATTTTTTATTTTCATTTCAAAGTTAGTTGTTACTCTGCAGAACTGTCAAATCTAAGTTGTCAATTATGAGGACAGCCTAAAATATCTTGCTTGATAGATAAGTAATTTAATTGCTCTGTATTAAACTTTTTGCAAATGCCTATGGAAAACAGTAAGAATTTAATTTAAAAATACAAATTGTGTGGTCATATCTTTTTCACATAATGACGACTTATATGATGACAGCGTGAATTTAAAAAAGTCTCTTTGGCAAATAAATACAAGTTTTTGACAATTTATAATCTATGAGGCTGACATTTAGTTTTTCACTGCTAGACTTTCTAAGGCCACTTAACTATTTTTCCAAGAAAACAGTGTTTCTGATAACACAATATGACCTGCAAGACCAGCTTCTGCAAAACAAGCCATCCAGGGCAATTGACAGTTAGCAAAATTTCCATTGGCAGCTACATTTAGAAATCCCAGAGGTCTGGTCAAGGGTATGGTGATTTTTTTTACTCCTCAGTGCAGTTAGATATCTTTATGTTTTGATAATGTTCAGGAGGTTACTGAATGTTTGTTTCCCAATTCCTCTGATTAATCAAATTTCATTTTTAAATGAAAATAAAGATTTATTTATATGGAAAAGGGTAGGGAATACATTCTCTTTTGGGGTTTTTTTTGGGGGGGTGAAGTATGGACTTTTTCAATAGAAAAAATAATAATTTTGTTCAAACATTTTTAATAAGTAAAGAAATGTATTTACAACTGTGACAATCTTACATATTACAGTAGTTTTTAAAATCCGAGCTTCTGGCACAGACGACTTCTAGAAATCAAAAACAAACTATTTCCAATGTAAGGGTGAATACAAGCATGTATATTCCTAGACATATAAATAACCAAGTGCAAATAAGACGCTTAAAATAAGTGTTACATGCTTTTCTTTCTGACTTATGTTATTTTTAAACAGTTCCTTCAGCCACCAAGTGACATGATGGTTCCCTAGTAGTGTTTACCACTCATGATAACTTCATCTGCCCCTGTTGTCCAAACAGATAAAATCCAGCACTCCAGAGACAGTGAGGCACATCTTTCCCCTGTTATTTGTAAGCTGACATGAGATGAGGCAAACAGACACCTTCTGAAGTTTTATGCATGCTGTTTTCTCTCTGTGCTGCAGCAAGAAAAGCCTTTTCTTTTAACCTGGTTCCCTTTGAAGAAGTGACTCCGACACCTTCATGGCCTCTAAAGGTAAGAAAAACTATGGCCAGCTAATAAATGTTACCTTAAATTATGACTAAAAGTATACAGTTGTTGAGTTATAATCAGTGACATTAATACTTTAAAAGCCATCATTTATTTCTTTTGAACATTGGAATTTAAAATTTTTAACTCCAAGGAGAATGTTGCATTAATAAACTCTCTTTCTCTCTCTCTCTCTCTCTCTCTCTCTCTCTATCTGAGAGAATGTAAAAGTTCAGATGTAAAAAACATATTTTAGTTGTAATGGATATGAACCTAGTGCATTAATAATAAAAGCTGTATAGCCAAATAAGAATGGTAATATTTAATGTCAAACACAAGGACAAGACAAAAATCACAAATTCAAAGAGATCTAAAGAACACTTTTCACATATATATTTGAAAGTATTTTAGAATAATTCACATGACTTAATTTCTCATCCATTGTTCAAACTGTGTTATACATCAACCTGTTATAAATAATGCAACATATGTTAATGTTAGACCTTAAATTTGAAGGATTACAAATAAATGTTTCTGGCTGATAAATAAAAAATCTTTCAAAAGTTTTTGACAGTAAATTAAATATAAGAATTCAAACAAAAATATCTATTTCAGCAAGCAGATCAATTAGGGACTTGAAGGGAGAGGGACTTGATAAAATTTCCCCTAAATACCTAACCCTACAGAAATATCATTACTGCTCTTAATTTAAAGAAGTTTTAAAAGGCAAGAGATGTGCTTTTTAAGCATAAAAAGTTACATTCTCACTAAAAATACTTGTGATACTTGCATAAAAATGAAATTATTACACGTTGCTATTCCATTATCAGAAAAAAACTTTATACACTAGAGTATAATAAAAAGTTTAGTATAAAAATTATGATTTGTATAATTTGCAGAAACTTTTTAATCTAATTATGAGGATGATTTCACAAATTTACAGTATTCTAAATCAAACTGATGAGCCACTAAAAGAATTATTTATCAAACCTCACTTTAAACACTATTTACTATTAAACAAATGAGGTTATCTTTTTTTTAATCAACATTTAATGTAGCCAAGTCTGAGATTCACTGGGAAAACTTACAGATTTGATATACACAAGAAGTAAGAAAATCATGAATTATAATATGTTCACATTTTATATTTGATAACAAACAAAAATCTTGACAAGTATTTTCTTTCATTTATTTGACACTAGCACTTAGTCCAAAATGCTTCATCACTTTATAAAATAAGAGTTATAGCAACACAGTAGCCTGTAAGGTAAAGAGTTGCAGAGTGTGTAAAATATTTATAAGCTAGTTATACATTTTTAAAAGAGTAGATAGAAATTCAAAGCCAGATAGAAATTCAAAGGAGTTCCTTCTTCATCTGGTGGTCTGGGTCTTTGAAGAAACTTGTGACTAGAAAGCAATATTATGTTCAAACTATGATTAATCTACCAAAAAGGCAGTGATATTCAGTAATGATGAGAACTTAAGACTAAACTTAGAGGAAAAACTTTAGGTGGAAAATTAACACTCCTTCTGAGGTGTACTCACAATACTTACCATATGCTGTGGATAAAGTATCTGTTACAGATCCTATGCTACTAAGTTGAAGTGACAATGTGGCTACCTTTGGAATTAGCACTCTTGTTTGAGGAGACAAGTCTAATTATCATCATTATTTATCTAAAACATTTTTAGGATAGTTTTCTTCAAGTATATTCAAAGATATAATTTATAATTCTATGATTATTTTACCCCATGAAACTGTATTGTCAATTAACATTTTCCCAGATTTAAAAGATACAGTAAAATTCCCCTTGCACAAACTTTCATGAACTGTGTGTCAAAGTTGAAGTGAAACTGCTGTAATCTATTATTAATGATGTATGTGCCACTCCAATCTTTCTATATGTATAATGAGAGTATTTAATCAAATATTTGTGTAGCTGTTATAAATTGTGTGACTCTAGATCCAGTTTACTTGTCTCTCCCACTCATTTGTCTTAAATTAAAGTCAAGCACCATATACTAGCACTGTAGACAATGATGTACCACAAGTATTATGGTGATCCCATGCCATACACACCTCATTACTTCAGTCAAATTATTTAACTTTTTCTCAAATTGCTAACAGTAGTCTTCATCATTTATTTTTCTCTGAATTAAGGATCAAATGATGGTGGCCATGAGTATACAAATAAAGGAAAAGACCCTAAAATAAGAGGTAGAAGAAGATAATCCACCATCTAAATTAAGAATTGACAAATATTTTAGAAGGATTATATGAAATTGCCTGAATTTAAATATGTGTTGAGATTTTCATTCTCTTGCAGATACACACAACCAAAAAGGTAGAGGGCTACCTCATTTTCTTCCTGGAGTTCCGGACCCAGGCCGAAGTTGTATCATCTCTTCTTCCCATCCAGGGAACCAAGTCTGGCAGCCGGGACCCCACCCACCAAGCAGCTTCCTGACAACAGTCAGTGTCCCTCCTGGTCTAGAGTATTTAAGCCAGGTGTTTATACCTTTTTATTTCCATAAATGTTTTCCCCTTAAAATTAATACAAGCTTAGTTTCTTGTTTTTCAGTCAATGTTGAAAGACTTCAATAATTTACTGAAGCAAAATAGACTTTAAAAATCATGAAATATAAACTTTTGATTTTATTTAGGAAGAATCTGTTTTCTTTTATTGCTAATTATATCTTCCTCATTTACTTGACAGAGTGAAGAAACTAAATATTTTTGATAGAGCTATTTAGCACATTTATCTACCTTCTGTTTGCCGTTCAGGCATTGGCAAACTTATCCTGAGGAATTGTCTAATATGTCTTAATCACCTACAACTATTTATTTAAAAGAATATTTATTGTGTACTTGGTATACTCAAGGGACATAAAATATATGAAACAGCCTCTCTCACCCAAACTTCTTACAACCAAATTGGCAAAATAAAAATTGTTGATTAAAGATGAAAGTATTCATACAAAAGCCAGGTTGCTACATGCAGTGGAACATGTCTGTAATCCCAACTTCTTGGAAGACACAGGCCAGAGGATCACAAGTTCACAAGTCGGATATCAGCCTAGGCAACCTAGCAAGACCCTATCTCAAACTAAAATTTTAAAAATGGCTCACGACGTAGCCTCACATGCTAGAGTGGTTGCCTAGCATGTGAAAGCCCAAGGTTCGATCCCTCTCTTCCCCCTAAAAAACCAAGTAAACACAAATTCTAACATATGCAGGTATAAAGAGACAAAGGTTGTTAAAGCCTAAAACACTCAGGCAGACTTTTGCAATGAGCTGAGAGTTCAACCATATCAAGAAGGAAGATGAAAATCCAAGGGAAAGCAAGATTTTGTCTTCTGATACTAGTGCATCTTCAGGTCAGTTTTCCTGAAGGATAATTGCTGCTAGGTGCAGTCACTATTCTAGTCATTGCAGAGTAAGCAGTAACTCAAGCCTTGTAATAATTCAGATAACAAGGGCAACCCGCTCTCCAGACCCGCTTCTGTCTCTCTTAGAAGCTTTCTTTCTCTCAGTAACCGCTTCCTATTCTTAATCTAAAAGAAAATTCAGTTAACAAAGATCATCATCTGAATTATATCGCAAATATACAGCAATTGCAGTGTTTATACATATATATATAAAATTGTTATTTTTGTAATTTGTTCTACAAAGATTGGAAACATGCTTACACTAATATTGAGATGTCAGCACATCTGCTGCAATTTTCAGCTTGTTTGGCATTCTTTCAAACTATAAAGTCTATCTCCTTTATCAAAATCAAATCTCTGTGTTAATTCCCTTAAGGTACATGAGATTTCTGTTATGCCTGATAGGGTTTAAACTGCATGCAGCATATGTTCCTGGGAAAATGTTTATAATTGCAGATGCCTTCTACAGAAACCCACTGGCAGACAAATGTACTTTAGAGACTGGCAAGCTCAGGGAGATATGTAAAAGAGCTGGAAACGCTAACTTACCATCTTCCATCTGCAGGAAGGATCAGCTGTAATAGCTGACTAGAGTTGATTAACTGCTGCAAGCTGTTTGGGAATGTTGTCAGACAAGGTTTTGCCAAGTATAAAAGTGATATACCAGTGCCAGAGGGCTGAGGTTTGATGATCACATATGGTCATCACATATTCTTCTTCCATCCATGAATGATGACACACCCGGAGCCAGATGCTTGACATGTATACATTTTTTTAACATCCAATAAATAGAAATATGAACACATGAACAAATTTAGTACGTTTTCCAAAAATATACTTTCCTGAATCTTCTTCAGAAAACAAACTATGCCTCAAATTGTTGAACATTTTACTTCTGAAGGTAATAACTTAGTCACTTTATACTAAAAGAACATTTATTTACTTTGAACCAGTGTACATACATATAAAAGGATGCATGAGCATTTCTAAAATGTTATACCATGAGTCTTTAAATAAATTTTTAGGATTAACTTTGAACTAAAACTTAAATTACATTATGAACATTTGAAAATAGTACATTCTGCAATAAGTACTCATAAAATCATACAGTAAAAATCTTCTTATATAAAAAGTCAGGCAATTATTTAAAATTTTACAACATTATGAAGTCTGTCCAATGATTTCTGAGAAAACTGTTTTCATAAACAATTTGAAAAGAAATATATACATATGTAATATAAGTTAAATCTAACGATAAAGTTAATAGATTCTTTTTAGATTGGATTTACATATTCATAATTAATAACATTTTATCTTATAATATGAATATAGAAAATGAATTATAATAACTATAGCTAATGATAATTATGCAATAATGAATCATTAAAATTTAGTCACCTATAGGCATGAGAAGTTAAAGTCACATGTAAATATTTATATTATTTTGAAATACGTAAACAGTACTAATGGAATCAATGATACTCATAAATCAGATTTTTAAAAAAGGATTCTTAAGCTGTATATCCAAGGCTGTCATTGTATTTTCATTTCTAAAGCTTTCATGCTTAAGCAATACTTTACTTGTCCTGACATCTGAATATATAATTCATTCTGTTTAAAATTTCCATCAATTCGTAGTCCATCAACCAATAGAAAAGAATGGAAAGGGTCTGTTTGGACCTTGGTTTATTAGTGGCTCAAGGCTACTTAAAGGAAACTACAAGAACAACAAAAATCAAGACCCCCAAAACCAGGAGATTTTCCCACAAGGAGAAATCATATCCAATCTGATTACAGAGTATGAGGTAAGGATTAAAGGAAATAGGAAATAAAGGCATTCATGCTTCATAGTGTCACTTAAGAATTATTTCGTCTAATTTCTAAGTTGAATAATATCAGTAACATGACAATTTAGAAATCATATCAGAATTGGCAGTGATTTACGTGCCTTATAACCTTGATAAATTCCTTAATCTCCAGGAGTTTCCTTACATGTAAAATTAATATCCACCTCTCTGAATTTTTGTGAGGATTATACCAGACATTGTGTTAAAATATGCAGCACAGTGACGGTAGTCACTAGATAAACAGCTATTTTTGAAAATTAGAGAAGCACAACTTCTCTTTTCATTATTGAGATCAATTAATAATTTCAAAATTTTAAGACTAAAATTAGTTTTGTAACACCAATATTCAGAGCTCCTAAACTCAAATACCACAGTCTTGACTCCTTATTTCTCCATTCCTGAGTTACTTCTAATAGAGACTTCTGCTAAATAATCACGTGAGCCTCTGTGAGGTTCAGCTCTTCTTTACCCACAACTCCCCATGTCCTCAAAAGAGGTCAGAACTAAAGCCATGCATTGTAAAAAACTTATTCTAATTTTTAAAAAGTGTTTTGTCATAATTATTAATATGAATTTAGCATATCTTGGATCAAATATCTGAAAATTTTGAAGAAAAAAATTGTGAATCTGAAAAAAAGAGGTGACATGTATTCTTTTACCAATACCAACATTTTAAAAAGAGGAAATAATATTAGTCTTACTCTTATATCAATATATTCAAGGAGCATGAGGGAAATAATGTACCTTCAAGTTTTATGGGTTTGTGGTATCCAACCAATGTCAAATTTTAGTAATGATTTGCTAGGTTTAATGATTCCTGATGAGTGTATTAATATAAAGAGAATAAAGTGAATGAAATTTTAAGGTGAAATAAAAAGTAAAGCATTAGAAATATCAACAGTTGTAACAGTGTTCAGGGTTTTGCTTTAGTGAATCTTCAAGTAGTGAAGATCAAATTCAAATTATACACAAAGAAATATCACATTGTTTCTCTGGTATGAGAAACTGAAAGTGTAAATAAAGACCAAAAATGTATACTAGATATTGTGAAATAAGAAAAAAAAATGTTCAAATGGGCAGGGGCACAAGGGAGGAGAGAGGGGTAAAGGAAAGAAGGGAAAAGGAAAAAAAACAGAAAAATAAATAAAATGGAAACAAACTTTTTGTAAGTAAAGAGGGGAAGAAGGGTTGCAGGGTGGGGAGGGGAATGGGAAAAAAATAAGAATCAAGAGAAATCATGTACAGATACAAATTCCCTATGATGAATGTGATCATTTTGTATATCTAAGTTGTACCAATAGACTCAATTAATTTTAAAAAACAAAATATACACAAAGTTATTCTAAGAACACATGCTTTATATTTCCTTTTAAAAATCAATTTGCAGTGCATATTTTCATAGTCATTTTGGACTATCTATAGACACAATCTCTGCAAATCAATCTTATTTTCAAATACAGAAGATAAATGTCACATACTCAGTAGCAGAAATCTTATTTTGCTTATATTGATATTTTGTTGGCATCTACAGATTTTTTTTCTAGCCCAAAGGAAACTATGACTGGGAAATACTTTTTTAAATAAACCTTTTCAGTTTAAACAAAACTGTTTGAACTCTGATGGGAATGAGTTACAGGTTTGCAGATTGACACTAAGTTAGGGAATATGAGAGGTGGCTAGACATTCATTCAAGACAATATTAAATTTCTTTCTTTTTTTTTTTTTTTTTTTTTGGTACCGGGGATTGAACTCTGGTCCTTGCGCTTTCAAGGCAGGGCATCAGTACCACTGAGCTAAATTCCTAGCCCTCTTTATTTCTTTTAAAATAAATTGTGGGAAATTTAAAACATCTTAGACTTGTTTCCATGGCCTCTTTTTTCCCATTTTCACACACACACAAGCACAAAATTAAACCACAAGCATTATTCTTGGTAATTTCACCTTGGAATTTTCAAGAGTTAGTGCACATTTTTACTTGAGTAATACACATTTTATCCTTGTTTGCATCATGAAATATAAGACCTTTTCAAACAGTTTAGTACAGAACATGAAAATCATCTAATTTCATATAGCATCAGAAGTAGGTTTATGGCAATATCTCCAGGGGTTTATGGTGTATTATGATATAATACATTTTATCTTCTTTATGTCATCCTCTAACAGTTAGACCTGATAATTATACACCAGCAAGTGGAGCTTCTTGGAAGTAAGTATATTATATTCTCCATTTATTAAAATTGTTGAAAATGCTTTAGTTTTCAGAAGTTTCTTAACTTCTAAATACATTATAAACAATAACATTAACCGTGTAGAGTAAAATTAGATTAAAAATAGCATTTGACTTATTAGTAAAAACTGAAAATCAAATAATTACTATGATTTAAATAAAACTAAAACTACAGAACTCTCTAAGTCTTTGTGTTATTGCAGGCCAAATTCTAAAATTATATTTGTTCCTAAAATAACTGAAGGTACTTCATCATTCTCATGGAAGTTAGTATTTAAATTTCTTAATAGTTTCAGAAATCAAAGATGAGATTAAATAACAAAAACCCATTCAAACAAAATGCCACTGTCTTATCATTTCATCAGTGATTAACCAAATAGGCATATTATTTATCCATATACAAATTTATGAGAATGACTGATTTCAATTTACTTAGATATTTTCTGTTTATAATAATCTACATTATTTCTAAGACATGTCAAAACTTAAATATATATTTGGATAGTACACAGCTACAAATATATTACCAGAGATTTTAGATACAATCATTATCATGACTATATATTGTACCAATAACTTGCATAACCATGATAGAATCAGTTTTGAGTAGTAGATTCTTCTTTACAGTATTAGTTCTTTAGTTGAAGAATGATACTATATTTGTGATCATATTTCTGAATCAAAATAAATTGATTATATAGCTTTATCTCAAGAGTTTACCAGATTTTTATGGCTAAGTCCACAAAATTTAAAGCATGAAATTAGATTTGTATAAAATTAAAATAAATTAAATAAATAAATAAATAAAATTAATAATTGATCTGTTACTCTATTTCCATTGACTAACACCTCCCCTTTACTTATTTAAGTGTTGATACTAGCTAATGCATTGTTTTGTAAAATGTTCTTTCTCTGTTAGTGATTCTTGGCACTGAGACCTCCAACAAATATGAGATTAAAAACAGCTTGGGACAAAGAATCTACTTTGCAGTGGAGGAAAGCATCTGCTTTAATCGAACGTTCTGTTCCACACTGCGATCCTGCACCCTGAAGATCACAGATAACTCAGGCCGAGAGGTGATTACAGTAAACCGGCCCTTAAGGTGTAACAGCTGCTGGTGCCCTTGTTACCTACAAGAGGTGAGTTACAGGCTCTCAGTGTCTTTTATTTATTTTTTTTAAGGTTAGACATTATTTCTTTAAGATTTTTGTCTGAAGCTATGAGGCAATTAATTTTTCAATTGTTTGAATTTGTATGTTGTGTTTTAATATCAGAACAGCTTGAGTATTTGGTGAGTCACTAAAATTTATTCCTTTCCGACCAAAAACTGTGGTGGATTCTGTGATGCTAATTGATGAAGACAGCTCAAGCATCATGTAAATGAGACATATCCTCTTTAATCTTTGTATTAGCCGCAGAATTTTAATGTCTGTAAGTTCCACCATTCAGCAAAACTACCTTTGGCTTCCTGAACAGTAGTAAAGTCCAAGGTGTTCTAAGGTGTTCTCTTCATCAAGTGTTACTTAACATGGGATTTCACACTCCACTTGCCCATTTATGACAAATTCTAAGTAGAGATTACCAAAGGCAATGTTATGGTTCAAGAGGCAATAATAAATTAGCTTATTTAAAATAGATTTTCACATTATGCAATAAAGCTATTAAATAATTCTCATGAACATAAGCAATTATCTTGTTAAATTGACACACAACTTTTATTTATTTTGCTTACTTTGATATGACATCTCTATGAGGTAGAGAGAGCTGGTGTTATGCTCCACATCTTGCAATCAAGGCAACCAGAAGAAGTGGCTTGCCTATGATCACATTCAGAAAATGCCATTGATCTAGATGTGCTAATTTAACCCCAAGCTTCTCTGTTGAAGATCTGTGTATAAGTGATGTCCTTAGGACAGTGACAATAAATATTAATATCAAAGGTGACTATTTGAGTAAGTGTCTAACAATATCTATTGAAGTTAGTTCTCTATTTATAGGTAAGCACTTGATTAAGTGATAAAATGACTCAAGTACTCAGTCATGAAGCCTGACTTTTCATCCTCCTACTGAGCATATATGTAATATTAATATACTCCAAAACTAGTGTAAACAATAATAAGTATACATCAATTTTTAAATTTCTGGTAATCAATATTTTATATCTACAAAATAGCTTAGTGTCATATAAATAAAAACATAAGATGTATCTTAATAGCCACTAATTTTTTAATCTCTTGATCAAACCAGTTTCTTTAGACATCTCAGAACAAATATGTATAACTCTAAGCAGTCAAGTAAACTCACCTCTGTTCATCCAAGTACACTACAGACATGAACATATGACTGTGAACTTGGTAAGAAAAGTGAAAAGAAGCTTAGATGATGAGGAGCTGTCTAGGTTTAAAAGCAAACACTATATTTTGTTTGTACCCATGCTGATTACTTTACTAAATGATTTGACTTGGATTATATAAATATATAAGTAATAGGATCAAATACTAAAGTTGTGCCTAAAAATGAAAAAAAAGTCAAACTTCTAGTTTTAATACTTTAAAAGATGTGAACCAACAATCAAATTGGTGTTTAATAACTGCAACGCTGTAAAAAGTGTTTTTTAAAATTAAATGCAAAGAATCTGAAAGTTGACAATCTGAAGAGGAAAAAAAAAGATGGAACATTTAATAATTGGTAAAAGGGGCCTAAATAGATAAATGTATGTTGTGGCTGCATCTCAGAGGAAGTATCATGAGTTACCACATGGGGATAGCTATGGTTGACCAAGGGTTGTACTTGGAATAAAATGGCAAAGAAGCTACTTGTAGTGTCCCAGGACCAAATGATAGTCATGAGGCAGTTCTCTTAAAGGAAGTGAAAAATAAACTCTTATGCATGGTGTAAAACATATCTGTACAGTGAATTTTTTTGGTGTCTATGACAAAGGTGTTATATAAATGTCAAAAAGACACTGCTTTATAATTGTAAGATGTAGATATTTAGAATAACTTGTACAAACCTGACGGAGTGCTATTTGGATGTAAATTTTCATTATAAAGCAATTACAATATAATAACTTTAGAAAATCTTGTTTTATTCTTATCTCATCTTGCAGTTAGAAATACAAGCCCCTCCTGGTACTATAGTTGCTTATGTTGCACAGAAGTGGGACCCCTTTCAGCCTAAATTCACAATCCAAAATGCAAACAAAGAAGATATTTTGAAAATTGTTGGTCCCTGTGTAACATGTGGCTGTTTTGGCGATGTGGATTTTAAGGTATGATTGACAAAATGAAGGAAGTTGTCATTTAGATTTTGTTTTTTTGCAACATAATTCAATTTTTACAAAATTCAAATCATAAAATATCCCTGAAATAAATTTAGAAAATAACAGTAAAATAATCTAGTAAGCTCATTATTTTGTGCCCATTAATATGAATTTGTAATTCCAGATGTTAAATTTAAGAATTTAAAAATATACTATAAAAATGTACTACCATTAGCAAAGATATCTGTTGTAGACTACAAGTTTTATTCAAAGTAATATTTAAAAAATTAAAATTAATGGTGGCTATAAAAAATATTTCTTAAAAATATATTTAGCTGGGTAAGGGATTTAGCTTAGTGATTCTGCTCCCTTCCTCGCAAGTTCAAGGTCCTCAGTTCATTCCCCTGTACAAAAAAAAAATGTGTATATATATATAGAGAGAGAGAGAGAGAGAGAGAGAGAGAGAGAGAGAGAGAGCTAACTACAATGGATAAAACTATAGTTTCTTACTTAAAATAACAAATGTCTCATTATTTTAAAATCCAAGCCTTTGAAAACCAAAATTTTCAAATACATATAATTTTGGCTTTTTCAGATAACCAAAAAAATTTTCAAAAAATAGTGGTTTCTGATGGTTTGATTTAAGTAGAATGATAAATGCACATTGTAAAAAGCAAATGTATTTGTATAGTTTAGGTCCTCAAATTATGTATTTTATTTCCAGTAAACCTGGTGGTCACATAGCCTACTCCAGGTCTCATTTCAGTTTTCTATAATTAGATGTTAAAATAAATAGTTGCAATTTCAGTCTGTAATAATACGAAGTATCTAAATAGATTTCCTCAGACATACATTTTAGGCAGAAGAGGCAGCCTAGTTTAAAGCATACACTTAGTTTTTATTCATTCACTTATATATATCCCACCTAGGACATTCCAGAGACTTCAAGGTAAATAATTTACAGAGAATACATTACAAATTTTGGAGTGTTAGATGTACTAATTTTAACTATTCCAAAAGAATATGGCATAATATTTTAAGAGCAGTATGATTAAGTAAAACTTAATCTTAAAAGTTTTAGTGTTTATAGTATTGAAATATCCTAAATTACTTTTTTCTAATTTCTATATTTTACTACTACATGAAAAGTTAAAATTTATATTAAATAACTGTCATCATGAAACAGGGTAAGAAAATGCATAGTTGATAAAACTCCTGAAAAAGACTGACAGACTTTGATGTCAGATTGGTCTGAATTTTCTATAGTGTCCATTAGCTCAGAACATTTTTTAACATCAAAATAGGACTAAAGCTTAAAAAGAAATGACTTGACAAATGTCTTCAGCATAACATAAAAAAGCTATTTAACAATCTCTGATGTTGTTTAATGATTTAATAATTATATAGTGTTAGTTGATATATACATATAACTGGAGAAGTCAGCTTTAAAATCTAGATCTCAAGTAAAAGAATTCCTTCTTGCTTAGACTGTGTAATTGAACTGTGTACCTGCTGCCATCTTGTGGTTGCTTGGAATTATTTATTGTCATTATATTCTCAATCTGCATTAAAAAAAAAGAAAAAAGAGCGGCTTATGGTGGATTAGAAAACTACCATAAAATCATAATTCTTGGAGAGTGGACTGGAAAGTTAAATTTACAAACTTATGCTTAAAAGAATGAGTAACATAGAATTGTTACTTAGTGTTGATAAAATAATTCATTTCTCTTGTGAAGTAAACATACCAAGAAATGTAAAACCATCTCTTTTTACCTTCGGATTTAATAGCTCTTGTTTTCATTTCAAAGGTGAAAACCATTAATGAAAAGCTCACAGTTGGGAAGATTTCAAAGTACTGGTCTGGATTTGTAAATAATGTTTTCACAAATGCTGACAACTTTGGAATCCATATTCCTGCAGATCTCGATGTGACAATTAAAGCAGCGATGATTGGTGCTTGTTTTCTTTTTGTAAGTATGGTCTTAGTGAGTATGAGTGACTTTTCTACTTCTCATTTGTCAGTTGCTATAGAGCCAGTCCCGGTATGGATCCGACTTTTGACCCACAAAGTACGTTTTTTTGCATAGAAGGCTAGTTTAGGACTAATCTGTTTCTGTTTCTATTCTTCAGAAATCAGAATTTAGAAACCTACATTTCTCTCCCAGGGAAGGTGACAGAAGGCTTTAATGCCATCACTCTGGGGGGCTGAAGCAGTAGGATTGAACGTTTGAGACCAGGCTGGGCAATTTAGTAAATTAGCACAACCCTATCTCAAGAAAAAATATAAAAGAGCTTAGGCTGAGTTCAAAAAGCCGGGTTGCAACCCAAGCACAGCAAAAAACAAAACCCAAAAAACCTCTACATTTCTAATAGGCAGCCCCTTTCAAGGACTGAGGCCCCATGACATCCTTCTCATTATTTTCTCAAAAACTGAGTTTTGCTTCCCTTTCATTGTCAATTTAGGTTTGGGGCATAGTGACACTTTACCTAAAAAATATATAAACATTAATATTACATGATTCACCTTGAGTAAAGTTCAGGACTATTTCATTGCTTAATAGTGAGCCAGGTTATATTCAGAATATGGAGAGTACAACTTTCTTGCCCTTCTACACTGAACACTGATACATTAGATGTCACAGATAAGTTAATAGCTTCCAGTTGCCATTGTTACAAAAACACATCCCTTCCTTTCTTTCCAACTTATAATTTTGTTCAAAATATCTTTCGGTATCTGGAGACTGGTGAAAAAAGTAAAAACAAAAAACAAAAAACTTGTGTAAAAATACTTGGCTACGTCCTGTTCGTAATCCCCACAACATTTCTTTTTTAAATATATTCACAAAAACTCATGTAATTATTAAATAAATGCACATTCTTCTTCCTATTTTACTCTTCAGGGTTCCAGGGTCTTAAGACTTACAGTTATGTGATGTGTTCTGCTGTTGAACAAAGTCAGACCTGCTGACTGAGTCTCTTCTAAAGACTCAGTGGAAAAATATATTAATTAAAAATAATACCCTAATCATATCACTGACGAACATTCAGAGTTCAGTACAGAAATAGAGATATGTATCTACTATAATTATTTCTTCAGTGCTTTAGAGGAATTAATTTAACTTCCTGATTCCCTATCATTAGTAGAAGGTAGAATTAATACGTGAATCCAAAAAGTGCTGTATTTTTACACGTATTATTTAGTCACTTAAACTAAATTTCCATTTTCATTTATAAATAAAGCCAATTTATAAATAAAACCAGTCACCTTACCTGTCACCAAATACTTGTCCTCTTTCTCATTTTCTCTATCCATATGAAAGTCCTTTATCACTTCCTGTTTACTCTTCTCATTTTTGATCATTCTGCACTTTAACACCAACCTCTCCAAATACACACACACACACACACACACACACAGCTTTTCCAAGACCTTAATTAGACCTTTCTGATTAATGCTCACATTTAATTTTCATATTAAAAATTACTCAGGCATAGTGGGCCATGCCTGTAATCCCAGCACTTGTGAGCCTGGGGAAGGAGGATCACTGAGAATTTGAAGCCAATCTGGACTATAGAGTGAGTTCAAGGCCAGTCTGAACTACAGAGGGAGATCTTGTCTCAAAAAAAATTGTTAAAAACAGATCATGTATGATGTGATCTATTCACCTACTTTTTGTAACAGATCACAAATATATGCTCTCAAAAATAGTACTACATTTGCTCTATCTCAAACCTTACTTATTTTCTTTTGTAGTAAGTTTTAAGATTTACTAAATTTACTGACTTTATCGAAGATTTCTAAAACTGATTCTCTTGAACAAGTCTATTTCCCTACTCTTCATTCATAATTTTTGAAAGATTGACAAAATGTATGTTTAATAAATGTTGATCTAGATTCTGCTCAGAATGTGGTGTAAAGTAGCTTGGAATCTCGTTCAAAGGCAAAACCTCAGACACCAGCCTAGATGCATCACAGCCAGTTTGTGAACAAGAGGCCTGACTGACTCCTCCATGCCATATAAATTTGAGATGAGTTTTAAACTTCGGGACCTAAAGGAGAAACATATACACTGAGAGTAGTTAGTGACAAACATACACTTCTTTCTTTAAAAATCATAATATTAAAAAATTGCACTTTTTTTCCAACGTAATTTTGTAACAATTTCTCACATGCATTTTCAAGAAAATTTACTTGCTATGTATATACATAAATTTCATAATTTATTCTCTATTATAACTTCATATACTGATCTTGAATGTCTATAATCTAATTCTGCAGTTTTGATCACCCCAGATTTTGACTAATAACTATGGCCTGACTAAGGTAAGGTTTCTAAGTTACTAACACTGAGAAATTTAACACATAAGTGTCATAAATCTTGAAATTTTTCACTTTTTCTTCTACTGATGAGATGTTGCTGGAACACCACTGGGAAATTTAATTACTTTATATAATCAAAGCTTACATGTCAGACTCTTGATCCTAATTGCTCCCTTTTTGTAAATTCACTCATATTCAGTTTATTTATTTGTAGGATTTTATATTCTTTGAACATTCACTAGCTGGATTATAACAAGCAAGATGACAAAACAATAAAATATGCAGAACATATTTCAGTAAGTAAAAGGCAAGTTTAAATGATCTCTTTCCCTTTGAAGATGTCTACATTTGACACTGTCTAATTCCTTTTCATTTTCTTCTAGACATCCCTTGGGCTGTGGATTTCATTTCTGAATGGTTTGAGTATTTGTTTTTTGTTATAAATGTTAATTATAATATTTATTAAACCATAATCTAATGAGGCAATTATCTAGTTGTGAATGCATGATAGCTAAATACACAATTACCAGCCTGAACACAAGGTTTCTTTGAGAGATTACCATCTTTCATTTTATCCTTTTGAAGTTATTGCAATGGTAAGGATGAAAGATGAGAACTAAGGCTTACAGTATCACTAATGAAAATTCAATGTTTATAGAAGACTTTGAAATTTTTCTGGTAATAAGGGTGGTTACTAATCAAGAGGACTGAATTTCTAAAATATTTTTTCAAAAGCAATCCCTTCTGAATTTGTTTATTAATTTTCTTATTGTAGTGAGATGTTTTACTTTATATTAGAAAAGTTAAATATAGAGTAAATAGTATGTTTAGGAGAGTAACGATTGATGTTTTCAATTCATTTCAGTGGCAGGAAGCAGAGTTATAGTCTACGAGTTAATTAATATTTACAAAGAAAAGTGCACTTAAATATCCACTTATGCCAGATATTTCAATAAACATACAGACTTCTAAATTAATAAAATCAGTGTTATTTACCAAGAAATTTATCTAGTCATAATGAAATTTTAGCTCAGTAAGGTATCTAAGACTCTGAAGATGAAAAACTGAAAAATTCTAGGCCTTAAAAAGAACCAATCAAAAACCTGAATCTGAGACAAGTGTGGAAATAAAAAAGCACAATAAATTAAATTAATTCTTTCTACTTCTTACTGTTTTTGGAGTGCTCCCAGTTACTATACCCTAGATGTCTACATGTTTCCAAAGTTCACACAAGATGAAGATTCTTTTTCATAATGAAAATAATTCTTTCCTTTTTCAAAATTAGGTAAACTATTTCTTTTAAGCAAGGCACCCTGTAGTCATTTAGGCTCTGCAAGTCAATTGTTTGAAATTAGGAACTAATCATATCCTGGAAATATTACATGTGGTAGTTATCTTACCTCAAGTAGTCCACAAAATCAGCTTACTTCTGGGTTCTTATGTAAGGGCCTTATGTTGTATAAGGTGAAACAGAACAGAGCCTCTTTCCTATTTTCTGGTTCACTTTCTTAAACATTCTTTGTTTATACTTTATGCCTTCACATTTTCTGATAACCTCATTCACTGACATGTAGAAAATATGAGTGACCTCAGTCAACCATAAAAGAACTTTTACTTAGGCAAAACTGTTTAGGTACTAGCCACGAAAAATAATGTTACACATAACACACAAGTTATCTCCAAGTCATATTATGATCCCCCCAGTGATCTGCATGCTGAGAGCAATCAGGGAGCAATAAGGAACATAAGCCCTGTGTGCAATAGATACCCCCTTGAGATACTGCAACCTTAAACTTACAGTCTTTCAGAATCTGCTCAGGATTCCCATTCTATCTGTTGTAGGGGAGCTCAGCATTTTTTCCCTTTTCCTTTAGTTTATTTCAAAGAAAGGGTGTATGGTTTAAACTCATTTGCAACTATTTAAGGAAATGACATTTTAAAGCTGATGCTTATTGACTAATAAGATGGAGAAAAAGTCACTATATTTTGAGTTGTGGTTCCTTTCAAAACTCATGCTAAACTTAATAACCAAAGCAACAGTATTAAGAGGTAGAAATTTTACAAATGATTTGATCATTGAGCTCCTCTTGGGAGCAGATTTAAAACCTTAAATAATATTTCTCACCCTTTCCACTTTTCTACAATTCTCCTCTCAAGAGTATGCAGTACTGGGGCTGGGAATTTAGCTCAGTGGTCCCACTGCCTCCCTCGCAAGTGCAAGGTCTTGTGTTCAATCCCTAGTACCAAAAAAAAAATAAAAAAAGAGTATCAGTACCTAAAGCACCATCTTGGAAGTGGAGATCTGCTCCTTATCAGGTACCAATACTGCTGCGCCTTGCTCTTGGACTTCCTAGCCTGCAAAACAGTGAGAAATAAATTTCTATTCTTTATGAATTTCCCATTCTTGGGTGTTTTGCTGTATAAGCAAAAACAAATTGAGACAATAACTAACTTTTCCTGAGAACTTAGTACATTCCAGACGCCATGCTTTATAGAAACTCCTGGTAGAATAGAAAAATGAAATGATAAAGGAAAATTAGGCACTCAATTGAAGACTACCTGGGAACCTATATTTTCCTCTATTCACTCTACCCCTGCTCCATGTTCCAAATTTTCTTCCTAAAGTTGATTCTGCTTTCATATCTTCTGATTGTGTTTTATTTTTGATTTCTAACATGAAAGATTCATGTAACCAAGGTCACAACAGCTGCAGCTTAGACTTTCACTATAGTCAGCTTTCCCATTACTGGAAAAAAAAAATCTTGACATCCGTAATTTAAAGAAGAGGTTTAATTTGGCTGACAGGTTCAGAGGTTTGACTCCATGGCAGGAATATCATGATGGAAAGGCAGGCTGGAGCAAATTCACTTTATGGCAGCAAGAAAGCAGAGCACAAGAAAATAGTGCCTGTGAGAGATGCACATCCCCAGTGACCCACCTCCAGTTAGGCCTTACTTCTTAATATCACATTAATCCACTGATATGTATAGTGCCCCATAGTCAAATCATTTTTCTAGGGTCTCTTATTCCTATCAAGTTGGCAATTAAGATTAATTGACACAAGTTCATCCCTTGACAACTTGACACCTAATCATATCTTGTTAAACCATACTAGACTATGAAATAAACACAATAACTAGGTCATAATTCCACCTAAAATAGCATCACTATCCTGAATACAACCAAAAAATATGATGATACCTTCCCAAAAGTCTCAACAGTTAAGCATTGCTCAGAATTCTAAATCAAAGTCTGCCCTGAGACTAGTGACAAACTCTAAGCTCCATGACCTATAAAAATCAAAACTTGTTACAAATTTCCCAGATATAATAGCACAATATAAACATCTCTATTTCAAAAGAGAGAAATAGGGGGATTAAAAAAAGAATCAAACCAATAGGAGACAAAAACCCAGCAGGGCAGAACATTAAGTCCTGTAGCTCCATATCCAGCATCAGGGCACATGTTCATAAGGTGTGAATTCCAGAGG